CGGATCCCTACTTTTGTATCCTTGGGGTAAATACCCAGTAGTGCAATTGCTGGATCATATGGTAGCTGTATTTTCAACTTTTTGAGGAACCTCCATACTGTTTTCCAGAGTGGCTGCACCAGCTTGCATTCAATGGTGGCTCTTTTCAACCAGGAGAGGGGGAGGGGAAAAAAAAAAAAGCAGAACTCCGTAAGTGATTTGAAAATGGGCTGGCCACTGTCTTTTGATCATTACCAAAGACAGTATAAATAATAAATGAATTGCAAAAGCCATGCACTCTGGGTGCGCGTGATCACGTGCTGAGCTTTCTCCGGCCAGAGAAGCAGCAGGTGCTCATGAAACCCTCTCTCTGGGACTCGCAGCCCTTGGATTATGAAACTCACCCTATACGAAGCCTTGTCATCACTGTGGAGAATGAGGAGCCGCTCTTCCCCTGTGAGGTGGGCCAGGTCCAGGGGCCCCGGGGGGCGGTGGTGAGCACCACTGTGAGCGTGCAGGTGACGGACACCAATGACCCACCAGCCTTTTACCCCAGGAGCTTTGTCGTCAGCGAGGTTGACGGTGCCAGACCGGGAATTCAGCTGGGAATTTTCAATGCTACAGATCCAGACAGAGCTGCTGGCCAGATAAGGTGAGAAGAGAGGAATGGGGAGTGTGGTCGTTTAAACAGAACGACCTACCCGTAGGCATTCCTGGTGGAAACCTGCCCTTTGGCGGGCGGGTGAGGTTGACTCCAGCTCAGTTATGAAAATAACTGAGAGGAACAGGAGAAGGCCCGATGGCCCACATTCAGTGCCTTCTTCCTTCTATAGCTGTCGCTGACCCCCTCCCCCCCGGGGAAGTGCACCTGCTCTTTTCCCCTTGCACTGAGCACACGTCGCTTTTATACCATTTTTCTTATATTAAAATAATTTGTTATGTGTTTCTATGTCCCTTTTTACTAAAAGTTGTAAATTGGCAGCCCTCTGGCTTCTGGGCAACAGAAGTGGGGTTTTTTAAATTTAATTGTGGTAAAATATGTCTAACACAAAGTTTACCATTTTAACCATTTTTAAGTGTACAGTTCAGGGGTATTAAGTACATTCATGTTGTTGCACGTCGACCTCAGAGAGTCGGTCGGGACCTGGGGTGGCGAAAGAACTGAGAAAAAGAGATGACAGTATGGCGAGCCGCAGGGGACCTCGAGCAAACAGCCTGAGGTGCCGAGGTTTATTTTCCATCCTCTTACATACGTTCCACAGTGATACAGATCTGTAATGGTTTACAGCAGGGGCGTAGGAAGGCACACTCCTCCATGTACCCAGGATTAGTCAAGCACGTAAGAATATTTAAAACAGAATAAAGGAACAGAGGAGAGTGCCCAGTGTGCCGTTTACAGCTGGCTTCCTATCTACAAAATATCTTCTGCTGCGTACTTTAGAACTGACCACACACGTTCCAAGGGCATTTCACTCTGATCCTTTCGGGTTATTTTTAACCCTGCAATCTCGAGTTTTCTCAGAGATCTCGGAGTCTGAGCGAACATGCGCCACATTGTGGCGTTCTGTTTCCCACAGTTGCACATTCATCCCCACCGTCCATCTCCAGAACTGTTCGATCTTATAAAACTGAAACTCTGTCCCCATGAAACGAGACCCCCATCTCTCTTCCTTCTGACTGGCAACCACCACACTACTTTCAGTCTCTGTGAATTTGATTACTCAAGGTGCTTCAGAGAACTGGGATCATACAGTATTCGTCTTTTTGTGACTGCCTTATGTCGCTTATTCAGCACAACGTCCTCCGGGTTCATCCATGTGGTAACAGGTTGCAGACCGTCCTTCCTTTTCAAGGCTGAATACTCCTCCACTGTCTGTGTAGACCGCACTGTGTTCTTCCATCCACCTGTGGGCGTCCACTTGGGTTTGCTCAGTGTTTAGCCATCGAGTTGCCATAATCCCTAGGAAGATGGCAGAGTAGGAAGCACCAGGAATCTGTCTCCCCACCCAGACAACTGCACGGGAAGAATCTCACGTACCTGTTTTGGAACTCTGGGTTCTATTGAAGGCTTGCAACTGCCAGAGAAAGGCTTGGATGGTAAACTGCGGTTAATTTTGGTCAATTATGGCTCTTAGCACAGTAGCAGCAACTCCTCCCCATCCCCAGCCAGTGGCCAGGAGCTGTGCACCTGTTCCTGGAACGGCCAAACAGAGAGTTTGCAGGAGCCAGAGTGGGCAAAAAAAATCTCTGTCCCCCAAATATCAGGGATCAGTGCTCTGCTGGCTGATTGCTGCTTTCACTCCTGGAGGTGCAGCCAAAGAGGAAGGCAGCCATTGGCTTCGCCCTTCCATCGATGTGGCAGACCCCCTCCCCTGCCAGCTGAAGTGGCTTCCGGGGATTGGATGGACAGGTGCCTGCATTTTCCCCTCTGCATTGTTTGCTTTTCCGTATTTCGGGAGCCAGACATTAAAGGCTAGGACAATTCCACAACCACCACCTGTATGAGGAAAATCAGAAAGTGGCTGGTATGCCCAGGGAAAGGGCCAGGAAAGCCTGAGAGGGCATTAAGTTGAGAGGCTGATCCTCAGCACAGAGACAGCCCATGGCAGTCCAATAAACAAACAAAAATAAAAAAAATAAAACAATAAGGAAAAACAGAAAACCCTGGGAAGGGGGAGAATCTGATCTCCAGAGTTCCCACATGGTTAGATCCAAATGCCCAGTGTTCAAGAAGAAAATTGCAAGGCACACAAAGAAACAGGAAAGTGAGGCCCATTCAAAACAATAGATCAACAGAAACCAGTCAGCCTATCTGCCCTCCCAATTCCCATCCACAATAATTCTTGGGGCAGCTGACCAAAGCCCATGGGGTCTGGGCTTCGCATCTCCTGATCTGCATGGGCTGGTTCAGGAGGTGGGGGCTCTCCCAAAGGAAAACTGGGGTGCTCTTACCAGAAAGCCACTGGCATCTGCTGTCAACATTCTCCTTTGAGCTTCTATCAGTGTCTGTAGAATCTAGCATATTTTTTAGATGAAACTATGAGCTCATGTTTACAGTTCCCAGCCCCAAAGTATGTAGTAAACCATTGAACATTGCCCCAAAAGAGCTCTGGTCTTTGCCCTTGGCTTCTGGGAGGTGAGCTTTAGGCCTTTGGGATGTCTTGCCTGAAAGGAATGTCTTTGTTTACCTTGGTCTTGTGCCAATCAGATACAGATGTGATTTAGGTTGGGGGCTTTGGGTCACGTGGGCATCCGTTGATCTCCAGCAACACTGGGGACCGAAGTCAGCCATTGGATGGCCAACCAGATTCACATGACTGAGTCTTGATAAAGATCCTGGACACAAGGCTCAGGGGAGCTTCCCTGGCTGACAGCACTCGAAGCATTATGTCACTTACTGATGTGGGAAGTGACACTATTGTGACTCTGCTGAAGAACTGGGAGCTCTGTGGTTGGTGCTTCTCTGAATTCTGCCCCATGTGCTTCTTCCTTTGGCTGATTTTAATCCATATCCTATTGCTGCAATGAACCATAACGATGAGTGCACAGCCTTCAGTGAGTTCTATGGGTCCTTCTAGAGAACTTTCAAACCTGAGCACGGTCTTGAGAACCCCTGGACTCACAGCTGGTGTCAGATAGAAGTGAGCGTGGTCTTGGTGACTGTTCCCTTTAAGTCTGAAATCGGCTAACTTTTGAACAGAGCCATGGCGCATGGGAGGGACTTAGTAAATCTCTGTTGGGTACATGGGCAAATGAGCAAGTCAACACATGCAATGTCTGTTTCCCTTCTGCAGGTCGGTCAGTTGAACTTTTAATGTTGAGAAGCCTCCCACTGGGTAATTACTCGGTGCCACTGGTCATCAGAGACAAACAGGGACTTTCCCAGAAGCAGATTGTCCACGTAAGGGTCTGTTTCTGTCCCGGTGGAGTCTCGTGTGTGGAGGCATCAGTTGCAGTCATAGGAACTGGGCTCCTCGTGGGCTACCCTAGCCCCTCCCTGTGCAGCGTTCATGATTCTGGCAGGTCAGGGTCTGCAGGGGCTGTCCTGGGGATGTGGCTCCTCTTCTCAGGCTGTAAGCCAGCAGTGTGGAGTCCTCTGGGCCAGGGAGCAGAAGATGGCAGAGATCAGTGGGATGCCTTGAGAATGACCCTTAGGCTCATCAGAGTCTCAGACTCAGGTCAAACATTCCCAACCTGGTCAGACATGCTACCCGTCTGGCAAAAGTAGCTTCTAGAAATTCAGTAGACAGCAATTTATAGCAATGGACCCCATAGAGGAACACTGGGGTTCGCAGTAACACTGGGGGCAGCAATGTGCAGATATCTAGGCTCCTGGGCCTGCAGCACACGAATAAGCAAGCTCAATTTTCAAATAAACAATACAATGTTATTGGTCACATGGTATTGATCAATTCAACCAATAATTATCTAGCACCGACTTGTGCCCCAAGCTGCACTAATTATATAACTATGGAGATGACCAAGACACAGCTGACCATGTCTGTTCATGGCTGAGTTACCAATCACCAGAACAAGATCCTGCTGAAACCTCTGCTGACGATGAGCTGCCCAACTCATTTCCCTGCTCTGTCTCATTACAGCCACTCTGCTGTTCCTGCTGCGACGCTGTTTTGTGTCCGAAGTCGGGCCCAGAAGCTCTGAGGAAGGCCAGCAGACTCTGATCACGTGTAGCGACAAGAGCAAAGCTATTTCAACCCAGGTAGTGGAGATTAACGCTTCCTATTTCCTGACAGTGATGTCCGTAGTCCACGCACGTGTTTTTCCACCCATCGAGCCCCGTCGCTTCATCACGCTCACTTATATTTGAGTAGCAAATGGGAAAAAGATTCCTGTGAAAACTGTCCAACTCAACTAAATTGAATTATTATTTTAGGCCGGTAATCCTCAACTGGGGGCGATTTTGCCCCCCAGGGGACGTTTGGCAATGTCTAGAGACAGTTTTGATGGTGGCAACTTGGTTGGGGTGGGAAGACATGGTTTTGGCTTCCAGTGGATGCAGAGAGGCCAGGGGGGCTGCTGAACGCCCGGCCGTGCCCAGGACAGCCCCAGCACAGAGAAGGGTCTGTCCCAACGTGAGGTGGAGAAGCCTTGCTTAGGGGGAGATGGTGTTCACCAGGGGGACTTCCTCTAGATGGAAGTGTGTCAGGCTCACTAATGAAATGCCTGGGGTGGCGATGAGGCAGCGCCCGCCCCTCTAACCTTGCCCAGCTGCGGCTGGGCACAGAACTCACTGGTCTGGCAGGGACAAGACCTGGGCTTTGCTTCTCATTAGCTTCATCTCACTGAGCATGTCATTCAGCCCCACATCCTCCCCTGTGAACCAGGGAGGATAAAAATCAACCTAACAGATCAGCTATTGATCGAAGACGACGTGCCCATGAAAACCTCTCACCCTTCCCCAGACACAAGGTAATCAGCAGGTAACTGATGGATTTTCAAAGCTGCTCCTGCTGATGCTGACCTTGCCGTGTATCCTCACAACAGCCCTGGGCTGGGTTAGCCGGGCAACCAGATGAAGGCACTGTGAGCTCTCTAGTCTGTCTTCACCTGGAACTAAGGGTGCTCGGTCTAGAAACTGAAAGTCAAAGAAATGTCCAAAGGGAACACAGTCTTTCCTGCACAGAGGATACAGATGGCCCCATCTTGCTGTCTTAGATCTCCACCCACGATCTTCTCCTGGAAGGATGAGACATGTTGCAGCAAGTAAGATGCCTTTGAGAAAAGACAGTCCAATTAACTTTGGCATTATGCTGGAGTAGACAGGGAGATATTCTAAAAAGTGATTGGTGATTGGAGAAGCTGGGGGCCAGCTAAGACCCCTTGGGTCCTCCTCACATTTTCTCTTCCTTCCTGGCATGATGGAAGGGGGAAGTGACAGCCTTGGGCGATGGTAGGGGTGTGCATGCAGGCGGGCCTGCTTTGAGCTTCCTGGTGTGGGGTCCAGAAGACAGGAGGTACAGTCCAAACTCTCCAGACACTGGACCCCCAGAAAAACTTCCCCACCCCAGCAATGACAGCTGCACTGCACTGTTTTGATTTGTTGTGTAATTTTGAGAAGGAAACCATCTTAACAAATAGCAGTGCTCCGTGAGGCAGACAGGATCCCTTGCCTTGGGCAGTTTCACTCTGCTCTGATGCTGTTATCCAGGAAAATGGACATGGCTCCTGGGCCCAGGGGCTGAGCTCAGCCTCCAGTGTGGGGACGGGATGGGGCTGAGGCAGCGGAGCTTGGAGGAGACCAGTGGGGAAGTCGCCTCCCCAAGCAGCGTCTGTGGGCATAGCCAAGGTGGAAGAGGTGGTGATGGGCCCAGGTGCTCTTCTTATTGGCCAGTGGCTCAGTGGTTGTGTCTTGGGGAGAAGGAAGCAGCTAGAGAAGCAGAGGGTGTGGAAGGGCAGCTTGGTTGTTGCAGAGCTGGGGCCAGGCAGGTTGCGGGCGCTTCTGGTGGCAAGATGGCGCCGGTCAAGGACCAGCTGTCGCGGGGATGATAGAGCCTTCCTCTGTCCCCTTCTTGTCCCAAGATGTTTTCCCCTTGTCTCCTACTCACAGCTCAGGACATGCCTTTGCTTCTACCATCATATCCTCGAGGCTCTGCGCCTGGGATCCAGCAAGTCTGGGTTTGGATTCCAAAACTGTGGCTTATCCAACACAGAAGCTAACCAATCCTTGGCTTTCATATATAAAGAGAGCTTAATAATGCTCTGTCTCTCAGGTTTATTGGACAATTTAATCAACTAACATCTGAAATCTTTAGCACAGGCTAGGGCATTGGCTGGCGCGATAAAAGTGGCTGCCAATGTTAGTATTATTAACAGTAATTACTAATTGTGTCTTTGTAACCATTGGTAAGTCAGGCCATTTCAAAGCGAACACACTTCTCCTCGGTCGTCCATCTTCCGTGACTATTCCACGCATACGCGAATGCCCAGGGACGTTCTGTGCTCTTGGGAGGACTCACTTCATCCAAGATGCTATTGATGAATCTACCACCTTGTCATGTCTGCAAGATTGCACAGATGCTCCCCTCTGAGAAGAGAAATCCAGCCCCAGCAACATTTGGGCCCTTGGTGGACGTGTGTTCACTGCAGAATGAACACACGGCACCGCCTAACCCTGGGGACCTCGAGAGCAACTCCACCAGCCTTGGAAGATAATGAGCTTTAGATCCTGAGACCCTATCAAAATTTACCATCACTCCCCATGAGACACAGATCAACAAGAAACTCCACCTCCCGACCAGCAATTCCAAAGGAGTCCTCTGGATTTATGGGATAGGTGTATTTTCCAGGGTCTGGATGTTTTCTGTGACGGCGCTGATACGTGTTTGGGATGTCATTCCTTGCTCTGCGCTTTTATTTCTGCTGTCTGTAATTTCAACCCCATCATATTTCTCTCCGTGTGTGTCCCACAGGGAAAGCCAGATGTCAGGGCTCAGGTGCCAGTCCTATTGCTCAACCAACATAGCTGAGGCCAGGCCTGAGCTGGGCGCCAAGGTAAGCGCGGCCTATCTGCTGCTCGGGTTTAGATGGAGAGGTGGCTTTGCGGAGGGTTCCCATGGCAGTGACCACCACCCTGCCCCCATATCCATGAGGTCCCTGGGCAAGGCCGCTCCACGCCTGCCTGCACCCAGCCTCACCTGCAAAGCCCCGTGACGCCACGCAAGCCAACAGGTCGACAGCATCCAATGACCCCGTCTGTAAGGAAGGCAGAAGTGGGAAAGCCATGCTGGCACCAGACGGAGACCCCCACCATTAGGAGTGTGGATGCCGAGTCAGAAGGGGAATAATCTTCTCATCATGCAATTCAACGTCATTTAAGCCCGTGTTCCCAAACTGGTTAAACCCTCCCTTCTCTACGGGTTAGATGATCCCACTTCAAAAACAGTGAGTTAATCCAGGGCTGCCATAAATCATTGAGCAGGTGCCTGGCTGGGGGTGAGCAGGGGCAGGCCCAGTGGGCATTCCACCCACCAATCCATGCTCCTGGGGGAGGACCGCCCTTTCTCCTGCACACGGACACTGTGTGAGCTGGGCTGGTGGTGCTTCCTCCCTGACTGGTCTGTTAGCTCCCAGAAGCCAGAAGAATCGCTCCCGATAACACAACAACAGCTCTGATTTCCTGACTGTGCCCTGGGGTGTGCACTCTGCAAGTACCATCTCACTGACACTTCGCCAGAACCCCTGGGGGAGGGTAATCGCCTTTCTCCGTCTACTGGGGAGGAAGCCAAGGTCTCTGGTTCCTATTTCTCCACGTGTCTCTGTGTTCCCTTCACTGCACCTCGTGGATAGAAATTGCACCTATGTACCTGGTTAACCGTGCTGCCATTCACATACCTTCCCTAAGTTAAGTTGTCACATGATTTATTGGGTAACCTATTTTAAAATCCATGCTGCAAAGCATGGATTATCTTTAACCATTGTTAAGATCCACTGCCTGCTTTTTTCTCTTTGAAATTTTGTTTCATTATTGAAGGGACTCATAAAATAATAGACACCCAAAGCAGAAATTGCTGACAGCCTCATCCCTAAATCTAGACAGTTTCATTTGTCTGCGTCACTGGCTAGGTCTTATGCACGCACATACTCGATGTTCGGGCATCTACGGTATTAGAGATGGAATGTTAGAGGCCCCGCTTACAGTCATGGCCGGCCATGCGCTCTGTTTTGAGAGTCTTCTCTTGCATCTATCCACCTTCCCTCTTCTACTCCCATTCTCCCTCTCCTCATCAAAACGCTTTTACGTGCATATGAGCATAGAGCAAGGGAAAGATGTGGTAAGGACACACATCATTTATGTAACTAGCTAAGGTTATTGTTGGTTGTTAAAGAGTTGTTATTTGATAGTTCTGATCAAATATGACGCTTTTTAGAACACCCACCAATAAATACATTTTTCTCATGTCCATCTGAGGGTACCTGAGATCATCTGTAAGGTTACAAGTGCATGGCTTTGGCCCCAATCAAATTTCAGCCCTCCTGCCAACTGAGCCCTGACATCCTCCTGCATCATGTCTTCATATACTCTATGACAAATTCTAGAACTATTGCTTTGCATTTTAAAATTATTTTTCTGGGGGGTGACTGTCTGGCTCAGTTGGTAGCGCATGTGACTCTTGATCCTCAGGGTCATGAGTTCAATTCCCACACTGGGCATGGATCTCACTTTAAATAGTAAAATCTTTAAAAAAATAAAATGATTTTTCTGAAATAATTTGGCTCATAAGAAGTAAAAATAGGTCAGAGAGTTCCTGTGTACCCTTCACACAGCTTCCCCCGAGGATAACATAACCATAATACTTTATCAAAACCAGAAAACTGACTTTGGTGTAGCACTATTAATAGAGGTCTCAAATAGAGACCTTATTTGGACTCCCCCAGTATAAGTAGGTGTAATTTAACAAAAAAATGTAAAATTTTTTGACAACTACTAAAAGATATTCAAGGTTCAAAAAGCTACAATTTTTGTGATGGAAAACTTCTAAAAAAGAATTCAAGAATTCTCTATAATTTCATTACCTTTCCTTGGGCTGTGTTTGAGCTAAAACAAAAACATGCTGTTCTTTTTTGCACAAAGATGCTGCTGTGAACCCACCCTTGAAAGGGCTTCTGCATTCATAACTGTGTCCCTTTGGCCCTGGCAGGGCTGGCTTCATGGGCATGGATGGACCTGGGCAGTCACACGGGTCCCTGTGCTTGGTTTAAAGCTCTGCGGTCACCATCTTGAAAGTTTTAATATTTGGACAAGTGGTCCCACATTTTTAATTTTGTACTGGTTACTGCAAATTATGTAGCCATTTTTGGGTCCTAGGGATGAATTTACCTCATTCACAAATGTTGAGGCCATGCCCATGGCACAAAGTGGGGCTTACTGGGCTTTTGTGGACTAAAGATGTGACTTGAAAATCTCACATTTTCATACCCCATCCCCAACAAGC